AGGTAAAAGTATAAACATAATTTGAATACATGAAAAGAGTAAGCGTAAAAAGAAATATTAGGACAGGGACGGTAGGCACGCTGGTGAACTTATGCACACTCCTTACAGACCTCTTAGGAATGGGGTGAGGTCAACAGTAGACAGTTTAAAGTTAAAGTTTTGGGGGTTTGGGGAAGAAACCACAGAGTCAGGTAGTGCATTCCAGGCATTGAGCACTCTGTTACTCAAGTCATATTTTCTGCAATCGAGTTTGGAGCAGTTTACCTTGAGTTTGTATCTATTATTTGCTCATGTATTGTTGTGGTTGAAGCTGAAGTAGTCATTGACAGGTAGGACATTGTGGCAGATAATTTTATGTATTACCCTTAGGTCAGACCGAAGTCAGCATAGTTCGAAGTTGTCTAAGCTCAAAATTTGAAGTCTGGTGGCATAAGGTATTTTATTATGGGTAGAGGAATGGAGGACTCTTCTGGTAAAATATCTCTCGACTCTCTCAATTGTATTTATGTCTGATATGCAGTGCGGGTTCCAGACAGATGAGCTGTATTCGAGAGTTGGTCTAGCAAATGTTTTGTATGCTCTAGTTAGTAGTACAATATTAACCCCCCTCTCTCTCTCTTCCTCTCCCTCGCTCCCTTCCTCTGTAAAATGAAAAACCATACTTCAAATGATTTCAGATTATCTCACAAATACAATGGATTTTAACACAGTATTGTTGTTAATTGATAATGTATTCACGTGTAACCTGTGTCTGCATAACCAACCTGTCTCCTCCCCCACACATCCCAACTGAAATTCTAGTTCAGTGATCTTGCAACTCATGAACACTTATGCCTCTTAATAAAATGTGTTTGTCAGAAGAGATTCTACCAGATTTTTTCTGATGTTCAACTGAATTGTGTAATCTGTGAAGACTTTCTCTCAAATTGCCTTTAGTCAGCCAGCCTTTCTCATTTCACATCAAAATAGAACCTGAGATTGACTGGGCTATTTTCACTATTTCCATATTGATTTAGTTATCACAATACTATCAGAACAGGTAGATTGTCATATTCGCGAGTCTATGGAATTCACGGAGAATCAGCAGCCAATCACCACTTATTCTTTGTGGCTAATAATTAATTATATCAAGTAATTAGCTAATCAGTGTTCAGTTTCTGAACCAGAAACAAGTGCCTCATCCCACAAACCTCTGTTTCATACAAAAATAACCGCCCCCTTTCCCTTTCTTAAAAAACTAAAGCAAAAAATGAACAAGCCTTATATTTCTGTGGGAACAGTACTACCACACCCCCTTATGCAAGTTTGTCCTTTTGAGCTGTTTTACTGCTGGGCACTGCTTCCAATCATAATATATCACCCAATCATTAATGGAAAAACTTCCTTTTGGTGATATCACCAATCAAAATTCTCATGGAAATTCTACCCTGAAGCTACCTCTTCAGTTTGAGCCCCTGCTTCCTATCTTTAGAACAGTCACTCAAAGCACGACCAGGATGTGGGGAACTTCTGATTGGCTCAGGAAGACTCTTAACTGATGCCATAGATAAGAGGTCTCCAACCTTGGCAACTTTAAGACTTGTGGACTTCAGCTCCCAAAATTCCTCAGTCAGCAAAGCTGGCGGAGGAATTCTGGGAGTTGAAGTCCACAAGTCTTAAAGTTGCCAAGGTTGGACACCCCTGCAATAGATTACTGTAGTTGTCCAAACATATTCTTTGCCATTAGTGTTACCAAGATACCCAGAGACAAATGAGATCCAAATTGTTAACCTCTCTTCCAAAAAGAATAAACTCCATATACTGGTAGGAAAAAACTGAGCCACCAAGTCTGTTTTCCTAATAATCAATAGACCTCTGTCTTGTATTGATTTAAGTTCCACTTGTTCATTCTCAACCAGCCCATTACTGAACATAGGAAATGATCAAAAGGATGATTTTCATTTTCTTGGGAATTGGATTACAAAGAGCAATAGCTGGCATGGTTTCAAAATTCCAATTCCAAAGTGCTGGACATTGTCCCCCAGATGTAAATATTAAACAGGACAGGCAACAGAATGTGATGATCACTATAAGCCATCAAGTATTAAATATTAATCCCCCCAAAACAGCTTTTGGACATGATTTGAAAGGATAGACCAGAAGTGATTCAAAATAGCATCCCTAAAATATAATATAATCCAGGTTAATGCTATAGTAGTTATTGCTAACAGCTGCAAGAAATTTAAGAGGAGGAATGGTTGTTAGTTGTTCAGCAAACCATTTGTCCACAATGGGCAGATTTTGCCAGAAACCTGAAATAAATGCCAGTTTCTGACAAAAAAAGGGCGTAAAATTGTGATTACAAGACCGCAGAACACTGTAAATGGCTCTAAATGTGGGCTAGTAGATGAGCATCCCAAAGGTAATCAAGTAACTGCAGGACAAGTCCAGCCGCTGAAACTTTGAATCCTGGTCATAACTACTTCTTTGGGTCCTTTGTAATTTCAAATGGTTGCTAAGCAACTGGTTGAAGTCCAGGATTACCTGTATTAAGGAGTGGAATTAACCATGCAATGCCTTCACCTCTCCATAAAATTCATTCACAGCTTCAAAAGCTACCATCTGAAATGCGTCTAAAATAAGGATCTGAAAGGCAACGCTGAATCCAAACTGATCTGATTGAGTTTATCAATCAAAAATATTTTTACATATTGCAAATTATATCCGCACTACATTATCATATCTGGTATCCAATCTAGAGAGAATTACAATTTTGGTTTCCTTGTTACTATTTCTACCTCTCTTTTAATTATTCTATTTGGCACACATTTTCTAAATTTCTGTAAAGTATATAGAACTGAAAAACGAAAGTTTCAAGATGACAGTGTTTAAAAGCAGAAGTTAGCATTGATGTCAAGCTGCAGAAATGAAACTTAGAAAGTATGAAATGCATACCATCAATCTGTATTTACTTAATCCTTCACACAGGTGGTCTTGAGGCTGCAACATGCTACATTCCAAAAATATCTAGGTGTCATTATTCACTCCTCACAAACCCAGTTTCTTCAAATATCTGTGGGATGCCCATGGAAATGTATAGGTTTTATTATGTTGAATCTTCTACAGGAGAAAAAAATATTAAAGTATATAATATTTGGGAATCATAGTTGAACTGTTTCTATTTAAGAATCATTGGTACATCTGTATATCATACAGATTGGTATTCACTCTACCAGCATTTCCAACACACATGCACCTCATCCCTCACAGAAAATTTTAAAACTTGACCTGGTATCTTCGTTTCTGTTGACCTTAAAACATACAGAGCATGTAGAGATCACCACAAACCTATCAATACTCATATTTTTTTCCCTATCCAGCTGCATCAGTAAAAGATGCAACCAATTACATGCAACCAGGAATATGCCATAGGTATTTTTCGCAATAGCTATGACTTCAGTTGCAAATTACTACAATGGATGGATTGCAGGCTGAATTCTAAACATAAAAAAAGAAGCAAGGTATAGGAAAAGCTAGGTATAAGCAAATCTATATGATGAAGGATTGCAAGAATCAGGTATGTCTGGTCTAACTAAGAGAAGGACTGTGGGTGACATGACAGCAGTGTTCCAATATTTGAGGGGCTGTTACAGAGAAGAGGGGGCTGACCTATTCTCCAAAGTATCTGAGGGCAGAACAAGAAGTAATGGATATAAGATTATTAAAGAGAGTTCCAAACTAGAACCAGGAATAAATTTCCTGACAGTTAGAACAATTAATTAGTGGAATAGCTTGCCTCCAATATTATGGATGCTCTATCACTGGAGGTTTTTAAGAAGAGATTAGACGACTATTTGTCCAAAATGGTATAGGGCCGTGATGGCGAACCTATGGCATGCATGCCGGAAGTGGCACGCAGATCCATCTCTCCAGGCATGCCAGATGTCGCATGTTACTCTCTGGGTTCCGGTGCGCATCTTCTTGCACACATGCGCACCAGAAACCAGAAGAATAGGTGGCCGATGTGCATGCATGTGCCAGAAACCAGAAGCCCAGCTTCCCGGTGCGCTCATGCGCACCAGGAAGCTGCTCTTCCGATTTCCGGTGCTCCCGCATGTATGTGCGCATTCTGTTTCAGCACTCGGTGCCGAAAAGGTTCGCCAACACTTGTATAGAGTCTCCTGCTGGAGCAGGAGATTGGACTAGAAGACCTCCAACTCAATTATTCAGTGTTAACTATTTATAAGATGCTGAACTACCTTTGAGGAAAGAGAGGGAGAGTATAATAGATTCAGAGCAGATTCTGAAATGGTCAATTGATATGCTTTTTGTACTTACAGATGGAACATTTCCAGTTACAATTACTGACTGCCAGTGGACTGATGGGACTCTACGCAGCCATTCCATATTCAAATCCCAATAATAATATTCTCTTATAGAGCTATGCACTACATTTGTTACCCTCCTATTTGCTTCACCTTCTGACTGCCATATTACAAAGGGGAATTTCTTGAGCTAAGAGCCCTGTTACTCAATGAATCAAAAAGTTTAGAAACAGACTGTAAATTCTAGTCCCTCCTCAGGCCTGAATGGAGCTGAGTGACCCTGGGCTAGTCACTTTCTCTCAGCCCTAGGAGGAGGCAAAGGCAAACCTCTTATGAAAACATTGCCAAGGAAACTATACGCATTACTGCAGGCAGCCTCAGAAATCCAGACTGCCTTGAAGGGACATATTTAAACGCACCTCAGCTGGGATTACCATAATGCTAAATCAAAATATGGTATAGTTTGGATTACTATCTCTAGTAATAATTTGGATTACTACCTCTTGTGCAAGCCCAATTATTGCTGTTTGTAAATCATGATTTATATAGTTTAACATGCTCTGCCAGTTCAGGCAGCTGTGATCTAGTCGATCAGCAAACACAGTCGCTCTGATTCTGTCGCACCCCAGAACGCGCAACCCCTGAGCCCCAGACTGTCCTATCCCTTTAAGAGAGCGTTTCTATACGCATAGCTCCCAGCCCGTCCCACCCCAGGCGGAAAAGCGAAGTGAATCTTCCGCGCTTCTGATTCTGGAGGATCGTGTTTAAAAACCGACAACTTTATAGTCTCGCTTCAGTCTGCGAGGACCGTCGCGCTTACAGGACAGCTGGTCACAAAGCGGGAGCGGCCATGGAGGAAGGTACGTCTGTCCCCGTCTCCCCCCACCAGCCCCTTGTGGGTTGGGGAGTATGGAAGGGGATTGAGGGCAACTCCAGGATCTCCCCAGTCATCGCGTCTCTTTCGGGGCTTCTGCTTTTGGTTTTGTCCTTAAAAAGTACAGAGAGTGTATAGTGCGCGCGATCCTGCCGTGCCCCCAGTTCAGAACAGCCTTGATCCCGCGTTTTAGCCCTTATCTGAATGGCGCTTTTCCTTCCCTTGTTGCCCGCTGCTCTGTGGAAACGCAGAAGGTATGGGAGCAGGGAGGAAGTACAGCAGGGAGCGTGCTTTGTGGAAAGGAGAAACCCTGCGCTCTCGGGATCCGAGGGCAAGGCTTGCCGTCCCTGTCGGACGCAGAAAGCAGTTCCGACACAGGGGTGCGGACTTGTTGGACTTTCGTTTCCTCTGAATGCTTCCTACAGGCGGCAACATGTACGAAGAGCCGCGGAGGGGCGGGGGACCTCCTGAAGGAGGCGAAATTGATGACGTGATGAATGGACCTGTCCGGAATGGGCCAGAAGTACAGGTAAGAAATACCTTCCTTGCTCAATAACATCCAGGTCCAGGAGCTGGATGAATTTGGCTCGCTCTTTACCTCGCCAGCTGCGACTCCGGCATCAGAAGCTAAGCGAGATGATCTCTAGTTGTGGGTTAGTCGGGGAAGTCATAAAAGCATCCCAAAATAAGACAGTGGAAAATCACTTACACTTTGTTGGGAGGAAAATCCACTCACAAGATGGATCTGTCTATGACAGTGATGGCTAACTTTTTTGCCGTCAGGTGCCAAAAGCGGGAGGAGTGCAGGGGGATCATGCGCATGCGTGCTCACACCCATAATTCAATGCCCCCCTGCGCCACGTGCATGTGCGCGTGACCCCCCACCACTCCCCCTGCTTTTGGCATGCGATGGCAAAAAGGTTACTGGTGGGCCCGGTAGGCCTGTTTTTCGGCCTCCCCAGGCTCCAGAGGCTTTCTTGGAGCCTGGGGAGGGCGAAAACAGCCTCCCCCACCCCATTGAAGGCCAGAAACGGCCTGTTTTCTGACTTCCCGTGGGCTCAGAAGGCCTGAAAATCAGCTGGCCACCACGCACATGCGTGCTGGAGCTGAGCTAGGGCAACGCTTGCTTGCCCACAGATGTGGATCTGCATGCCACCTGTGGCACATGGGTCTATGAAATCACTATGCAGCCAGCTTGGCTTAAGGGTATCTTAGCTTTTTGATAAACCTAAGGTAGCCTTCCCCAACTTCAGGGGTGAAATCCAGCAGGTTCTGACAGCTTCTGGAGAACCGGTAGCAGAAAGTTTGAGCAGTTCGGAGAACCGGTAGTGGGAATTTTGAGTAGTTTGGAGAACTGGCAAATACCACCTCTGGCTGGCCTCAGAGTGGGGTGGGAATGGAGATTTTGCAATATCCTTCCCCCAGGAGTGGGGAGGGAATGGGGATTTTGCAGTATCCTTCTCCTGCCATGCCCACCAAGCCATACCACACCAAACCCACAGAACCGGTAGTAAAAAAATTTGGATTTCACCACTGCCCAACTTGGTGCTCCACGGAGATGTGGGCTTTCAGATTCCATCAGTTGCCAGACTGGAAAAGGTTATTCTGAGGAAATTGTCTTGTGTGAGGTGTGCATTTGTCTGTGTATTCCGTTTGTTTACAGAGTTTAAAGTTTAAATTGTTTACAGAGTTTAAAGAACATAGGTTTTTGGAAGGAAGAAGGGCTAACGTGTAACAAGTGATTACCGTCTTCATTCTTATTCTTTCAGAACTAGTGCTGGAAAGATGGAGCCTGCCCACTCTTACCGTGTGTATGTGTGTATGTGTGCATGTATGTATATGAAGTAATATTTTGCAGTATGGCTTTAAACCAGATTTCCACCACATAAATATACAGTTTCTTACAAGTTGCAACCAATGCCTTTTCAGGGAAGTGTTTGTGGCATTTTCCCAATGCCACAAACACTTGTTTGTGGCATTGTCATTTTGTAAGCCGCCTTGAGTCCCTCGGGAGAAAGGCGGCATATAAATTGCAATAATAAATAATAAAATAAATAATGCATAAGCTGCAGTATTTTGTCAATTTTTTTTCCATTTTCACCATTTTTACAGAATGATCATTTCTTGCATACATTTAAATACCAGAATGTATCACTTTAAAAGCAACAAAATGAGATAAAGCTACCTCATCCATAGTCCTCTTAACATGTTACCTAAACAATAAAAAAACTTAAAAAAAACAAGTTATTTGCAACCGTTAGGAAACAAATGTACATATATTAGATCTGATGGTGAAATGCCATCTAAGGACTTTTAATTGTCTTAAACGTAAAGTTTTCTCTGCAGCAATGCCATATGCATTCTATTTCATAGAAATGATAAACAACATTTGTTTAAAAATTGAATGAGATAGTGAATAAAATTCAATGAAGCAAAATGATGATTGGGTGTAGCCTTTCTTTGGCATCTGTTTCTGGAGAAGCCATCTGCATGTATTGTAATCATACTAAAAGTTTTACTTATACATACATATGTACATACGTGCTTGTGTATGTGCTCCTCAACACTTAAAACTACTTGCATTCATTGCATGTCTTCCCCAAAACAGCCTTTCATTGGAGAATAGAACTCTTAGAGTGTTACTGATCTTCTTGGCTGTAATCCTAGCTTCGATTGCAGGTCACCTTCACTCTTTTGTGAAATATGTCTGTCTCCGTGTATCTTAACCACTTCACAGAGCATTTTTCCCAACTCCTTATGATGCTTCTGTCTTCAGCTGGAGGACTTTGTGGGGGCTCATGCAGAATACAATGAAGAAGAAGAAGAACGAAAGTACTTCCGCCGTAAGCGTCTTGGAGTTGTCAAGAACCTTTTGGCAGCCAGCATAGCTGGAATGCTGACCTATGGGGTTTTTCTAGGTAGGTATTGCAGGAGTTACCATTCTCTCCTTCTGCCATATAATTATTTGTTTATTTGTTAATTTATTGTTAGACAAATTTACAAGGCTGTCCATCTACCAGAAGAATCATGAATGGCAAAGAAAAATAAAAGCACAACACAAATATCACAATCAGCTTAAAGAAACAAAAAGGACAGAGTCAAAGCCCCAATAAAAATCTAATACACTTAGATCAAATGCAAGCATGCCAGAGCTCCATTAACATCCCGGCCTCCGTCTGGAGAAAAGCCAGTCTTTACTGCCTTCTTTTTTTTCATTTTTGAGAGAGTTTTTAAATAATTAAAAAAACAAAGAATATATAAATTAGAAAAAGAGATGCGTTTAAAACAGTATAGATAAAGGAAAAGAGAAAAAGTTAAAGACGTATCTTCTGAACTTCTTTACAGAGATATAAATTTTTATCTTTCTCCCCCTGTAGAATTATATAATTCCCTTCTTTCCATAGTTAATCTAAAAATCCAGATTAAGTCATTAGTCAACCATTAGTCAACCAGAGTCATTGGTAACCAGAAATCACTGGTTTAGTTTGTCTGTTTTCAGCAAAAAATCCAATCTTTCGTAAGAGTACTTGTTATTTTGTCCCTGGAGTCAAACACGACTTCACTGCCTTTTGGAAGGCCAATAGGGTCTGGGCCTTCTGTACTGCAGGGAGAAGGGGAGGCTGTTCTGTAAGATAGCACCATGACACAGACCAGCTACATTTTGGCTCTGCTTCTTGGGCCCCACCAAGTGACACTACTTCAACAAAGGAACCCAGTTCATGCCCATTTTGCTAGATCTAATCTGCATGAAATTCTGTTCACAGTGTTTGCTACACTTCTAAGTTAAACAGGAGGGAGATCTGCAGAGAATCAGTCTTGTGCCCAAATAAATTGTAGGGATGTTAGTTTAGGCATTTACTTTTCAGAAATAGAGAGCAATTTGGTAGCGTTATTGCTTAGAACTCAGCGATGATGTGCAGGATCTGTAAGTAGTTGGTTTTTGAAATACCAGGAATACATTCGGACAGATATGTTATGCTTTCATTCTATTGTTTGTTAACTCTGGAACGATAGCTAAGTCTCAGTTGCAATAAACTTCTTCTTAACAGGATGAAGCACATTAGGATCCTGGAGAAACAAAGTTTATTTTTTGTTTTTTTCTGAGCATCACTGTACACTGTACATTATACACTATACACATCACCCGATCTTATATCCACTAAGCATTTAAGTTTACACAGCTTGGAGGTGGAAAATATGCATACAAAGGATGATATGGGCAAAATACTCACTTGCCTAATAATTGTGCACACGGTGTAGTTCAGTTCGTACATCATGCAGAAACATAACTTGGCTTGCTTGGTATGGGATTGGATGTTGTGAAAACTCAGTCTTTGTGATTTGTAAACCATAATTTGTGGTTTACTGCAATGGAGGAACACAGGGCTGAAGATGGAAGCCTTCTATAGCAGCTGAATGATAGACCAAGGGCAAAAAGGATTAATCCTTGAGTTTCCATGTTGTCTTCCACAGGCCTGCTTCAGATGCAGCTCATCTTGCATTATGATGAGACCTACCGGGAAGTGAAATATAGCAATCTTGGGCTACAGAATATTGATAGCAAAATGCTGCTGGGCATCAGCATCACACCCCTTGCCGCATTTCTCTATACTCCAATATTTATCAGGTAAAGCTCTGCTCTGGATCAATTTTCTTTCTTTTCTTTTTTTTCACGTATTCTTTAAACTGTGGTTTTAGAACATTAAAAGATCTAAAGCCAGACATTCACAACATGCAGAATCCAGGCGCTTCTCTTTATCTTTCCAGATTTTTTGGCACTAAGTGGATGCTGTTCTTGGCAGTGGGCATCTACGCACTTTTTGTCTCCACTAACTACTGGGAGCGCTACTATACTTTGGTACCATCTGCGGTGGCAATTGGGGCTGCCATTGTACCTCTTTGGGCATCTCTGGGCAACTACATCCTCAGGTGAGACCGATTGCAAAGATTGGGCTGAGAAGAAGAAACAAATACTCAGCTACAAGGCTGGCTTTATCATATTTATTCAGCTTTCTGCCAGCTTGATAGGTCTCCTCGGTGGTACTGTTTCCCAAACTGACCTAGGCATTCAGACTGTTTCACATTCTATAGATGGTGGTAGGGGGAAATGAATTACCAACTCTTTGGATGCTTCTGCTCCATGTAAACAATTCATGACTGCTCCCATGTGAAGGGGTGGTATACAGTTTAGCTTAGGCTTTACATGGGAAACTACGCATTGTCCTACCAGGCTAACCCATAACCTCTTTTTCTGCACCTCTATTCCAACAGGATGGCACAAAAATACTATGAATATGTGAACTACAAGCTGGAACATGTCCAGGAGCAGAAACGGGCACCACGTGGTGCCTACAATTCCTACATCATTACCTTCGAGGCTGTCTTCTATGGCTTCTTCTTTGTGAGAACTCTACCAACACAACCTAGTGGGTTTGGGGGAGGAAGACATGGTAGATAGCGCCCTATGCTGTCCTCCCTTGTCAACTGGGAAACTATAGCTCTATTGCTAAGCTCAACATTTCCGAAAGGTCCTTTGTGTGGCTTTTAATTTCCTTTTCTCCCACCACTAATGAAGCTGACAGCTTCTTCCATTCCTGTTTTCCAGTTGAGCTTTGTCTATGCCCAGTTTCCCATGTTTTTCTTCTTGAAGAACTATCTCTTTGAGCTGAACCACACACTTTATGACGTCAAGAATTGTGGTGAGTAGCTAGGAGGGCTATTATAATTTGGCCAGACTGATACATAATTGGCTTTTCCCTTGGAAAGTCATAATCACTTATAGCTCTATGTTACACTCTTCTCCGCTGCTTGTCTAGCTGGGGCCTCTATTTACCATAATCTTTTTTTTTTTAATACAATTTTATTGATTTTTTATACACAAATAAAATATAATAACAATTCTGTTTAACATCGGATTCGCAGTGTTTATACATATATACATGAATAAGTGTCTGGTGTCATTTGTACTATACATTTCTAATTAATTTCTGCACCTTTTGTTTCTTCCTTAATTCTATCATTTATCCATTCATACCATCTTCCCCACACAGTATCATAATCAGAATTTTCATCGTCATTTATCTCGTGAGTTAATTTACTTATCTCGTGAGTTAATTTACTTATCTCTGCACACTCTAATATTTTATTAATTATAAGGTCATCTGGTGGTAGGTCTTTCTTTTTCCAGTATTGAGCGTATGCTAGTCTGGCAGCTGTAGTTATGTGTATTAGGAGGTGGACCTTTTCCTTTCCGTACCCTTTCTTTACCATTCCCAGGAGAAATATTTCTGGATTCAGATCAATGTCTTCTTTAAGTATGTCTTTCAACCATCTCCGAATTTTGCTCCAGTACCTTTTTGCTTCGGGGCATGTCCACCACGTATGAAAGAAGGTGCCATGACCATGGCCACATTTCCAACAATTTGGCTGCGCATTGGGGAACATCTTTGCTAGTCTTGCAGGTGCCAAATGCCACCTATGAAGCATTTTGTAGTGATTTTCCTTATATGTGGCTGCTCTAGTTAATTTATAATTTTTATTCCAGGCTTCTTCCCATTCATTAAAATTCAAACTGTGTCCAATATTTCTCTCCCATGCTCTCAATTGATTTCTAATTATATCCTCATCTCTGTCTTCCTCTAATAAATAGTTATACAGCTTGGCCAACGCTTTTTTCCCTGGTCCCATCAAAATTTTGTCTAATCCATTATATCCTAATTCTAGGCCATACTCTTCTTTATCTTTCTGGTATCTTGATTTTATTTGCAGATAAGTCCACCAATCTAAGGTTATACCTTGGTCTCTCAGGGCTTCATTTGATTTAATATTTCCCCCTCCATCAACAATGTCTTTGTATCTGCACAATTTCTCCATTCCCACCTGTTGGGGTAAATCATTGCCTCTACCGTGGAAAGCCAGTTTGGGACTTTTGAATAGTATCTCTGCCTGATTCCCACCCACGTTTGTATTAGGGAGTCTCTAATTTTATGCCTGTGGAAATAGGTTTTCTTTTTATTGTCTTTGTCCCATAGATATGCATGCCACCCTTTCTGTAGGTCATATTCTTCTAACACTAAGATTCTCTTATTCTCCAAGGTGATCCAATCCTTTATCCATATCAGCTTTGCTGCTCTGTAATACATTTCCCAATTTGGGAGTCCAAATCCTCCCACATTCCTTTTTTCTTGCAGAATTTTAAGTGAGATCCTTGATTTTTTTCCCTCCCAAACAAATTCCCTAATGGTCTTATTTAATTCTGAAAAAAAAAATTTCTTTAAAATTACTGGTAAATTTTGATATAAAAATAAGATCTTGGGGAGGATGCTCATCTTAATTGCCGCAATTTTGCCAATAAGTGATAATTTGATCTTTTTCCATCTATCCAGATCTTGTTTTAATTTATTAATTAATGGAGTATAATTATTTTCTTTTAGAGATGAGCACCTTTTGGTTAGCCAAATTCCTAAGTATTTTATTTTTGGGACAACTTGTAAGCCCAAGGTTTCTTCTATCTCTTTCTTCTGCATCTCAGTTACATTCTTAGTAAGTATTTTGGTTTTAGATTTGTTATTTACCATAATCTAAGATCTCTCTCTTTTCTAGGGACTGCAAGCCATGGGATCCTCATTGGGTTCAACACCACAGTTCTCCAGAAATTGCCTCGCAGCAGTGAGCTCATCATAGTGGAGAGTGTGCTGATGGGAGTAGCCTTCCTCTCCATGCTTATGGTATGTACTGCAAATATTTATTTATTTATTTAATAGATTTATATGGCCACCCAACTTCCACATGGTGACTTCAGGTGGTGTACAGCATCAATAATAGTGGTTGGCTAACTTTTTATTTTTAGATAGTGAAATTGCCTTCTATAAAACAGCCTCATTCCCATCTGGAATAATCAAAAGTGTTGGTTGAACAAAAATACGTTTTGTATAGGTTAGCAACTTCTGATCCCCAAGGCATTATACACCTGCAGGAGGATATATGTAAATATGGAAACTTACACTACATGCAGCTATGCTGCTGCACCATGACAAAAATGGCTAGGTTGTAAATTGTCCCCTAATATATTAATCTATACAGGTGGTAGTCCTTCACTTATGACAGTTCATTTAGTGACCATTAAAATTACAAGGGCACTGAAAAATGTGACTTATGACCGTTTTTCACACTTACAACCTTTGCAGCATCCCCATGATCATATGATCAAAATTCAAATACTTGGCAACTGGTTCATATTTATGACCATTGCTGTGCCCCAAGGTCACGTGATCACCTTTTGCGACTTTCTGACAAGCAAAGTCAATGCAGAAGCCAGATTCACTTAACAACCAGGTTACTAACTGCAGTGATTCACTTAACAACTGTGGTAAGAAAGGTCTAAAATGGGGCAAAATTCACTTAACAAATTTCTCACTTAGCAACAGAAATTTTGGGCTCAGCTGTGGTCGTAAATCGAAGATTACCTGTATTACAGTTGTAAAGATAAGCAGAAATAATCTATTTCTCTATTTTGCTTAAAAAAGGATGGAATTAAACCTGAGGATAGGCCTACCATTGAAAATGCTAGCCCCGTTTTGGGTGCGTTCATTCTGTGATCTCTATTATTTAGGCAGATTTATTCAATACGAGCGACATGATCTAAAATGTGTTTCCCTGATCCAAATCATTTGCTTTCACTGATATGGGGAAAGTGGGAGAAAGTCAAGAGACCTACTTCTTCCCTGTCCTTGTCATCCCCCAATGGCCTTTTGTTTCCACAGGTGTTGTTTCTTTGTGGCTCTGCTTATCGCCCCACGGAGGAGATTGACCTGCGTAACATTGGATGGGGCAACATCTTCCAGCTCCCTTTCAAGCACATGCGAGATTATCGTCTGCGCTGCCTCCTCCTCTTCTTCATCTACAGTGGCTTTGAAGTGCTCTTCCTTTGCACTGGCTTTACTTTGGTATGTGTAAGCTTCTCAGATAGGAGGGACTGAGCACACAATGAGGTCTGTAAACTGAAGGTTTCTTTCCTTATCTGTCACAGAACTATGGTGTCTGTTCTATCGGCCTGGAACACATGGCTTATATTCTCACTGCTTATGGAATCTCATCTGCTCTTGGCTCTACTCTGGCGCTAACTATGCTGAGGCTGCCTCGTCAAGTTCCCCTCCTTACTGGAGCTTCTATTCATGCCATCATCTTGATTGCCCTCTTCTGCTGGGAGCCTCAACCCAAAAACTTAGCTGAAGCACCCATAATCTACCTGGTGGCTGCTTTCTGGGGCCTTGGCAGTGCCCTCAACAAGACAGGGCTCAGCAGTAAGTAAATAATATTGCTCTGTGTCACAGGTTCCTGTCCTGGAACAAACAGATTTTTGCTCCTGTTCTGCTCCAAACCAAATGTCTAACCATGGTACTTGCTGGGCTCTCTATGCAGCAGGAAGTACATCAAGGCAAACTGAATAATAAAAGCAAATTCCTCATTATGATGTACCACATGGTGATTAGTTGAATATTGCTTAAAATTAGCATAACATTTTATTTATTTATTTATTTATTTATTTATTTTATTTCTATACCGCCCTTCTCCCGAAGGACTCAGGGCGGTGTACAGCCTAATTCAAAACACAAAGACGGACAGAGTTTAAAAATAATTAAAATTATTAAATAATAGGCCCAATTTATAAAACCCCAAATTTAAAATCCCATTTAAAACCAATTAAAATCTTTACCTTGATAGCCCAGCCTGGCGGAACAACATGGTTTTGAGGGCACAGCGAAACACACGGAGATCAGAGATCTTACGTATTTCCGGGGGCAGTTCATTCCACAGGGCTGGGGCTCCCACAGAGAAGGCCCTCCCTCTGAGTGTCACCAGCCAACATAATTTGGCTGATGGCACCCTGAGGAGACCCTCTCTGTGGGAGCGAACTGGCCGGTGGGAGGCTACTGGTGGCAGAAGACGGTCTTGAAGGTATCCAGGTCCAATGCCATGGAGCGTTTTAAAGGTGGTAACCAACACCTTGAATCGCACCCGGAAGACCACATTAAGTTTTTGAACTCTTTCTCACCCAAACATCTTCACTAACAGAGAAAGATAGATCCTTTATCAGTGGTTTGCACCTTGGGGTGCTTTCTTGTTAGCCAGGTTCCCCCCCCCCATCTCTAACTTTCCAGCCAGCTCGGGTTGGATTACTGATGGGAGTAAAAAAAAAGAGAGAGAGAGAGAGAAAGGAAAAAACTCAGTCTCACAATTCTGATGATGTACCACTCTTTTCCTGTAGCACTTCTGGGGATGCTTTATGAAGACAAAGAACGGCAGGACTTCATCTTCACCATCTACCATTGGTGGCAAGCCTGTGCCATGTTTGTTGTTTATTGCTGGTCTGATATGCCTATGAAGGTGAGTGAGGAAGCCGGGCACAAAAGAGAATTCTGTAGGTCAAAGGATAGAGCGCATTCTTTTATTCTTTGGTAAAATGCAGATAAGATATAAAGTGGGAAAGGAGGAGAATTTCCCCAGTCTAGTGTGAATCTGACCTAAGAAGAGTGAAGTAATGAGGAAACCATTAAGGCGAAACTGACAGAAAATATTACTCTGCCTGAGAAAGAGAAAAGCATTAGAAAGAAACTCAACTTTACCTTGATTATATTTGCATTCCTTCACACTTGGCAATAAAAGAGAAAAACTCTAAAGCAAGGCAAGATATTTTGTGCAACTTTGAATCTTCCCTTCCTCCTAGACAAGGTTCAGGACAAAGTAAAGGAGCACCTGAATTTTGCTGTTTGGTAACTAACAGAGGCTTTTCCTTCCAGGCTAAATTATCCATCGTGCTTATTACTTTGGTTGCTGCCGTGTTTTCCTACATATGGATGGAACGTAAGATATCCCAGAGTGTTCCCCACCGTCTCCCTAAAATTCCCAAGCCTCGCCACAAACTGCGAGGTTACCGCTACCTAGAGGAGGACAACTCTGATGCAACTGATTCAGAGGAGGAAAAGGAAGAGGACGAGCAGAGGGAGGCGGAGGCAGAAGGCAATGAACTTGATGGCTCACCACACTGCCCTCGGCGGAGGAGACAACATGCCTATGGGGAGGCCTTTGGGGAAGAAGTTGGGGATATCAGGGGGTAGTTCCTGCTTTGCTTTCACTGTGACCCTAACAATATGTGCCAAAGACTATGAATCTCAAGTGCCTTAGATTTCAACTTCCCGCTACATCACTAATGTTTTCTTCTTGGGATTGGTCCTGTAATGTTTTAACTTGGCCTTGGAAAGACTGTGTGAATTACGTCCTTGGATTGGTTTTCAAGTTTAGTAAATCTGGGTCCATGTTTTAGTCTGAAGAATGGGTCATTTGAGTGCTTCTGAGCTTGGTTGTTTCCTTGCATATGTTTCATTATCCAAACTAGGTAACATGTTCAGTGTAGCAGGGAGTGAGATTTGCTCTCATTTTATATTCTTATGGCTTGCCCTGTCAGTGTTGGTCGGAGTGAGATTTGCTGGGTCATTTAAAATGGGTCATTTGTAATAAGTCGATTTTAGGACTTCCCCCTGCTTTGTCCTCGCTCTCTAACAGTGGGAGTTACTAGGTACTCAAGTACAAATTTTCTTGAAACAGCCTTAATGGATTTTGAAAGGTGAGTACTTTCAAAAGTTATTTATGAGAAAATCCTTGGGAAGCAGGGAAGGAAGGAGGGGTATACTGATACTTACTTAACAGGTACTTATGAGGTAACTCTTTGGAAGCAAGAAAGGGAGAGCGATACAATGGCCTTCCTTATAATTTAGATATACAGTGATATATACAAAAATATATTAAATCCATTTCTAAGGTGACTGTGTCCATAAGTGAAATAAATAACAAGCTGGAAGTGTCAAGTAAACCGTTTAATATTTACATTTCATCCTGGCAATTTAGTACTATCGTAGATATCGTCGGTGGTCACATGACTGCACACCTTAGCAACAGCAGCTCTGGTAGTCCTGGTTACCTAGTTTGCCTAGTCATAGGCAAACACTACTCCTGATCTGCTGTGGTCATCTGGTTTCAACTTCCCCCCACCCATTACCTCCTCCCCATCCCTATCAGCCCCAGCTGACCTTGACCATTTTCCTCCTGCTCCTCGTGAGGCTGTTGCTGGCCATTTGCAAGGCCTTTGTGAGGCCTCGGCAATGCCTGGCATGGCATCAGGGAGGCCTTGCACAGGTCCAGTAGCTGCCTTGGCTAGGCATACTTCATCAGCAAGAAGAAGACAGCAAAAATCAGCTGGGATAGTGGGAGATGGCAGGGTAGGTGGCAGTGGCAGAGTGCAGGATAGTTAAAAAGGCCAGAGATTGGGAGGGAATAAACAGTTGAGAGTTGAATCAAATGCAGTGGTTGTAAATGCAGCAGGCTGCCAAGCACCCAAATTTCGAGCACGTGATTGCGGGGGCCAGTGGTGAAATCCAATTTTTTTTACTACTGGTTCTGTGGGAGTGGTTTGGTGGGTGTGGTGTAGCTTGGTGGGCGTGGCAGGGGAAGGATACTGCAAAATCTCCATTCCCTCCCCATTCCTGGGAGAAGGATACTGCAAAATCCCTATTCCCACCCCATTCTGGGGCCAGCCAGAGGTTGTATTTACCAGTTCTCCGAACTACTCAAAATTTCCGCTACCGGTTCTCCAGAACCTGTCAGAACCTGCTGGATTTCACCCCTGGCGGGGGCACTGCAAAAGCTATGATACTGGGAGCCAATGGTAATTATCATTTGTTCTGCGCCACTAGAACTTCAGTCACTGAACAAATGATTGTAAAGCAAGACTATCTGTAGAGGTTTCCTTTTCCTAGTGAAAAAAATGACTGAGCAGATCTTCTTTTAATTCCTTGTAGAGGCAAAGTCAAGATAATTTAGAACTAGGATCTTGTCTCTAAAGTCATTATCATCTTTCCCCCCAACCCCCCCAAAATATAACATGAAATACATGCAAACACTGTATATGTATATATATGTAAAAACTCCAGAAACTCAGGATACCAAGGAATACTTAATTATTGCAAAAAACATGGAAAAATATTTAGCATTTTTAATTTTTATAATAAATTTTATGATATTTTATTTTATTTTATTAAATTTCTATACTGCCCTTCTCCCGAAGGACTCAGGGCAGTGAACAGCCACAAGATAAAACACATAAATACAAAAATTTAAAATAAATTAAAAACGAATTAAATAATTTGGCTGAATTTAAAATACCCCATAATTTAAAACAAATTAAAATTTATTAAAATTTACATTTAAAAAGGGGAGAAGATTTAGGCCAGGCCAGCTTGATGAAATAAAGAAGTCTTAAGCGCGCGACGGAAGGTGCGCAGATCCGGGATCCTCCGTATCTCCGGGGGGAGCTTGTTCCAGATTGTAGGTGCCCCCACAGAGAAGGCTCTCCCCCTAGGGGCTGCCGGTCGACATTGTCGACACCCGGAGGAGCCCCTCTCTATGGGGCTATTGGTGGGAGGCTATTGGTGGTAGCAGGCGGCCCCGTAGATAACCAGGTCCTAAGCCATGGAGCGCTTTAAAGGTGATAACCAGAACCTTGAAGTGCACTCGGAAGACCACCGGGAGCCAGTGCAGCTCGCGCAGGAGAGGTGTTACATGGAAACTCCACGTTGCTCCCATAACCACCCACGCGGCCACACTCTGCGCCAGTTGGAGCCTCTGAGTGCTCCTCAAGGGGAGCCCCATGTAGGGAGTGTTACAATAGTCCAGACGAGAGATGACAAGGGCATAAGTGACTGTGTGTAGAGAGTCCCGATCTAGAAAGGGACGCAACTGGCGGATCAGGCGAACCTGATGAAAAATCCTCCCGGTTTTGAATAAAGGCTATGCTGAATCAAAATTGCTTGAATCAAAGATGATGGAATCTGTCTGTAATGGTGTACTAGTTCATTGCCAGAGGCTTAGCTTCTCCGACATCCAATATTCATCCAGTAAAACCATAGAGTAACTTATACTGGCAAGGTTATATCCACACTAGAGAAAGCAGAATAACTTTTATTGGTGTGGCATATTCTTTGGACGTATTTTCTAATAGCATCATTTCTAAATTATGAGTGAAATCCTAGTAGTCTTATGATGCTAGAGAGCTGTTCTTTTTCTATGGACAAAATATTTTATCCATAACAGGAAATGATGCCTTCTTCATACAGAGAAGGCCATTACCTTCACATCTATGCCAATTCTTTTTGGTCAAAACCATTATTCCACTAATAATCATTGCTAGTATCTGTATAGCAGAATCTAAAAGTCTTACTAAAACTCTTATGCCCATAATCTTTAACTGGATGAAATGGTACATCATAGGGCAACAGTTTTTCAGCCAAGTACCTCAGATGGACTAGTTTACAGAATACATCCAAAATCTGGGATCCATGACTCCCATGGAACTGAAATTTGGTGCAAATTTTATAAAATAAAAATTATCATAAAACATATGACATAATTTTTAAAAATGTCATAAAACATTTTCTGTGGTCAACTCCTGATGTGCTATACAGTTTGACATGGGCTACTTTCAAGGCAGAGATTTCTGAATATATCCTGGAATTTTAAAGAAGTTTTTAACAAACTTTTCAAGTGCATTAGAAACTCTACCAAAGTTGAAGGCATTGAGGAACCTGGTAAGAAAATATTTCTGAAATTATGACCCAACAAGTCATCTACTCACAACTAAAAGACACACAGCCTCTATACATAGCAGAAATATTAATTAGAGGCACATCACAAAGAAACCTGGGAAATTAAGACTGTACACTAGCCATGTGAGGACAAAATCCTGATACATAGAAACGTTACCTTGTTATATAGCAATGTTTTCTAAAGCTTAACCATACTGTTAACAGTAAATACTATATGGGATGCTCAAAAACAATGTTTGCACTTTCAGTGTCCCTAGGTTAGAAAACATACTTATTTTCTCAGTGATGAAAATGAATGCTTTATTTTAAAAAAAAGGCCAGATAAAAAGACAATACCTCCTTGATAGTAATTATTCTTTAAAAAAAATTATCCCATCTTTGACTTCCTAAGTAATTAAAGGCAGCAAATGTACTATTATGCCTTTATTTTCTCCACAACAGCACTATAAGGTAGGTTGGGCAGCGAAAGTGACTGGCTTTAAAGCATCTATGTCATATTACAAGAAGGTCCAGATGTAAATAAAACCCATTTTTTTAACTAATAAACGAAGCTTTGACTTCAGTCAATGGATTAGGGAACTTTCCAAATATAATTGGCAATGGAGCATTGTACATAGAAATAGTTTAAAAGGGATACTGGTTTGCACTATAAATGACAAACATTTCCAACTCAGTCAAGCAACTTTAGATTGGAATCTCCTTCTGAAACGTTTTCATTGGGTGTGTGGGGCAACTTTCCTGCTTGTTACAGAATAGCAACAGGAAATGCTTCCTCTGCTGGTTTCTAAGTGTTACTATTCATCAAGTCTCGGTTGTTTTTTTTTTTTTTTTTTTTGTGCGTAGAAAAAATCCGATTTAGTTTGTAGAAACAATTGTAAAGCACACCGTTTTTCTCCCTTCCAAACAACAACAACCGCTCTTTAAGCCACAAAACAGACCGAAACAAAACAACCCTTAAACACATCTTGCTACCCGTCCTCTGTGATCCACGTGTCCCCTTCTCAGGTTGTCGGGAAACCGAGCCCTTCTTCCTTCCCAGGGACTTCATCCTCCGTCATGCACTGCACGGACACTGCGCAGACTGTGACCTCAGAGGACAAGCCGCTCCCGTGAAGGCCTCTGGGGATCGGAGTCCCAGAACCCGGGAGCTCGCTGCTATTCGGATCAAGGAGCGGACTCCATTTCCCAGCAGGCTTTCGGCGAGCCGAGCGGCAGACGCGAGTGTGAGTGGACGGTGCGGGAACTCAGCCGTCACGTGCAGTACGAGGTGCGTGTGCCGTTGATGCTGGAGGAGGAGGAGACGACGGAGACGCCGACGACGGAGAAGGAGGAGGCTGAGGCTGCTCCGCGCGGGGGCTTGTTGTTGTTGCGGCAGCCGCGGCTCGGCCCGCAACACTTCCCTGGAAGACCCCCGAACGGCTCGGCCGGCCACCACGATGAGCGACAACGATGACATCGAGGTGGAGAGCGACGTGAGTGCCTCGCTGGTTCCCCCGCATCCTTTCCTCTTTCTCCCCCTCCCCCCCATTCTTTTCCTTCCTTCCCCGACCACGTCCGGGTTCTCTTCTTCCCCTTCCTTCTCTCGGTCGCTCAGGCGGAGATTGTCAGGCGGCGGCGGGCGCGGCTTGGCTGAGCGGCGCTGACAGTAACGCCTGTCTCTCTCTCTCTCTCTCATATATTGCAGGAAGAGCAGCCGAGGTTTCAGTCTGCGGTACGTCTCTCTCTGCCCTTCATTCGCTTAATTCCTCTCCCCCCCCCCAAAAAAACCCCCTCCACCGCCTTCCTTCCCGGACCCCCAAGGCAGAGAGCGCGGCCCGGCAGTCAAAGCCTAACCGGGGTGGGTGGTTGGGTGGGAGAGGGGGGCATAAAAGGAACTGGCAGAAGGGAAGAGGAAGGGGGAGGTAGCCTGGCCGTGTGTCCCCCTCGGAGCCTGGCTCGGGGGTGTGGGGCATGCGAAGGGGCTGTAGGGGACAGAGAGGTCTGTGGTGAGCGGGGGAAGGCCAGGCGTTTCTCTTTGTTTTGGAGGAAAACTTTCTATAGGCAGCTCTGCCTAGTGGTCGGTGGCAGAGGAAAAAAAGATTAGGAGGGCAGGGCCTGTCGCTGTCAGCTGTCTTCTGAGCCGGATGAGTTGGGCTGGAGCAAAAAGCCCGAGGGTGGAAAAGCGGTGTGTTTCCTACTGGAGCTTTGCAGAACAGGTCAAGAGTCTAATTCAAAACAGGTCAGGTGGAGGTTATAACTACAGGTAGTCCTCGACTTACCGTGGTTCGTTGAGTGGCTGTTC